GAGTGCGTGTCCGGTCATGTTCGCCAACACATAACCCCACAACGGACGCACGATTCTGCCAGACTTCCCGTAAACTTTTCACTCCCACACCGCGGCGTGATCTGAGTCGCTAGGCACAGAAGCTGCTTGGCCTTTTCTCTGTTTGTTTCATCCCTTCTTGTTTTCTTTCTTTTTTTTTTAATGTATTTTTTTTTTCCCCCGGCCCTTCCCCTGTGTGTGGAAGGGACGGAGATGGGACGGACTTTTGAGGTGTCGAATTTTGTGGGGGCAGCAGATACCACATACTGCCACTCGGGCGTAGGAACGGCCCCGAGAGCGGAAAGGGATGAGGTCCCGAGGGGGACATCGCCATGGGGGTCTCTTCAGTCAGTTTGCTGGAAAGGGACATGTGCAGGTCCCTTGGCGGATGGCTCAGTGAGCACCCTCCGGATGTGCCAAACAGTCGGTGGTTGGCGGTTCGGAGTCCCGTTTGCATTCTTATAGGGGCCTGCGTGCTTAGCAGCCCCCTTGCAGTCGACGAAGGTGAAGTTTCGGGCGTGGGTTTTGGGACCTTGTACTCGAGTTACGGGGGACTCTCTGCACACGCTTTGGGTGGTTTCCAGTTTGCGAGGGACGGGCGAGTCGTTCTTTGGATGTCGAGCGAACATTTTTGTGGCGCCGTGCGGGTCCATGGTCGTCTCTCTTGGAGGGCTCATTTCACGACAGCTCGGTCGTCGTTTGTGGCAGTCACGGCTGTCGGGGCTTTCCTATGGCATGGTGTCGGGTTGTGGATCGTTGCGTTCACCCTCGCTCATCGTCTTGCGATGATTGGCGCCTGATCGCCGACGGTGGTCCGGTTGGCGGTCGTTTGCAGGGTGTGGAGGCGGAGGTGCCCGTCACCGACTCTCAGCTTCGGCACCATCATCCCGTAGGTTACGGGGAGAGCTGTTGCGGCTCTGTTGTGGTGTCTTCTTCGTGTCGGCACTCACAACGGCGTGTTCCGTTTGTGTTGAGGGGGTGTCTCGACTTGGTGAGGACGCTCTGCGCTCTTCGCCATCCGAGCGCCGCCATTGAGCGGTGGTGCAGGTGGCCTCGACCCTGCAACCGCTGCTTACCGTATGCGACGGCGGAGACTTGTGGGATGCGTCATGCACCCTCCGACGGCGTTGCGAGGTTGGGCCCGTCTTGTTGGAATGCGCGCTTGTGCCCGTCGTGTCCCCCATCCTGTGGTCTCGGTATGCTGCAGACCGAAGTGGATCGCGTTGCGTTGTGGTTCTGCTGCGTTTAGGTTGTGGGCTTTGAAGGCTACTATCCTCTGTCTCCTGGGTTTCGCCTGCATCGAGTGGTGTTGGTGGTGCCCATGGCAACAGGCGCATGTGGATCCAGGGGGGAGGGGGTGTGTTCCTTTTGCGCCCACGTGCACAGGTGGAGGCTTTCGTCCGTCCGGGCGTGTTGGAAGCGTGGTGCATTCGTTTCTCTCTTCACCCGTGTTTCTCGATGGAGAGATGAGGTGGTGCACTTCGCTGTCGGTACGTTTTGGGCGGGCGGTGGCATCCGGCTGTGGGCTGAAGCTGTCTGTGGTTCCTTCGCGCGAGTGGATAGTGTGGTTATCTTGCGATCTCAGGGTGTGGTGTGCGCGGATGCTGTTCGCAGCCAATCTTTTGAGCGGGTGCGGCGGGCTGTGTTGGATTGTGCGGTACCTTGCCGTTGGAGATGGCCTACGGAGGGGAAGTTCACCTGCAATTCAAACAGCCGGACTTCGCGTCGTCGCGGCAGCTCATTGCACGTTCCACGACTGTTCTACGTTCTTTTGGTAGGCTGGCCGGCGTGACGCGCCTACGTGGGCCTCGACCATCGCTCCTTGCGGCTGCTCGTTACACCCGCTACCTGGTTGATCCTGCCAGTAGTCATATGCTTGTCTCAAGGACTAAGCTAGGCACATGTAAGTGTGAACACTTTGCACTGTGGAACCGGAAGCAAGAACAAGTGCAAGGAATGCGGATCCGAGAGAAGGAGAGGCCTCGAATGTGAGGTTGGACATGTCCCTGCTTGATGAAGTATTGGATGACATGCTGGCGGAGGGCCGACTTTACCTGGTACCATGGATCTTCAAAGAGGCTACACCAACCTTACAGCTTTTGACGGTGGCAATAGAAGCGGGGATAAAGAATGTCAGGTTGCCACTGATGCTGCTGCTCCACCATCGCAACAACGGGCTATGTCGATCGTGGAGGAATGGCTGGGGGCAAGTTTTGAGGTGGTTCCTATCCCAGGCATCTCAGCGATCAGGCTGTTGGAGCCAGGGGATCAAGGACCCTCGGTTGGACTGTACTGTTACTTTCTCCGTGCGGACCTGGCAGAGGGCCGAGGGGACGGACAGTTGGTACCTCCCTTTGGCTGGTTCAACCTCCCACCAATTCTGGAATATGCGGAAGTCGAGCAGTGCACGGTCGTGACGCAGCGATCGGCTCCCCTACAACTACTATGACATCTAGACAGACGAATGTCGGCGGTTAAACGCTTCTCTAATACGTGCTTTTGGCCAACGACAGATGAGTGGCTGCATGGGGTGCGAAGGAGAGTTCAGCCACCAAGAGGAGCGACCTCTAGAAACTCATCACAGAGGAATGGGGGAACGGAGCACTCGAGTCATCAGGGGAGCACCCGACTTCCGAGAAGAAGATCCAGGGTGTCGGTAAGAATGGCGCGGTCGGACCGCTCTAGAGGAAGTCGATGAGCGGAGGAAGGGAACTGCGGAAGGAGGGAATGGACCTTCGGGATGGGGGTGTAACGATGGGGATAGGTCTGGGAATAAGGTAGTGGAATGACCTCTGCCATAACTAGAGTTCAATACAATTTGCCATAACTAGAGTTCAATACAATATGCTTAAGACGGGCTCCCTAAATGTTCGAGGGCTGGGATTTCGATCCATTCAAAGGAAGTCTAGGGAAATTAAGCGCATAGTGGATAAGGAGAAACTGGCAATAATGTGCCTACAGGAGACCAGGTTATCCGAGGCCAGGATGAGGACAGACAGGCTGGAACTTCCGGAGCTAGCGCTGGGAGGGGCATTTCAGCTATGGGCACCAGCAATAGGAACTAGAGGAGGAGTAGCGATTGTCCTGACCCGTTTTTTTGACGGAAAAGTGCTGGATTTTTTTTGGGACTCACAAGGGCACAAGGCTTGGGTATTTGTGGAAATAGGAAGGCAAAAGATCTTCATCATCACCGTGTATGCCCCAGTGGAAACAACAGAAAGAAAGTGGTTCTGGAGGGATTTTGTGACCTGCGTCCCACAGATAGATGCTATGCTTGTGATAGGAGATTTCAACACAATTGTACGACCTGGACACGACTCCCTTATGCCAGGGGAACCGCGTCCGGACGCGGATGCACTATGTGATCTTATGGCAAACTTGGCATTAGTAGATGCTTTTAGAAGACTATGGCCAGATGATAAAGGGTACATCCCCGCTATTGTGAAGCAGATTGGATATGGCTTGGTTGTCCTATGAAACCGCGCGTTCATTGAACGCGGGTTTTCCGTTCAGAAATTGAACGGAATGCACGCGCGTTCAATGAACGGGACCGAACGCGGAGTTCAATTCCGCGCAGGGAAAAAAAAAA